CGGGGCCGCCTCAGGGAGCAGGTTCCCGGCGGCTACTGCCCGCGCTTGGGCCGCTTGGACTTCTTGCCTTCCCAGCTTCAGGCCGGGACATCGGGACACCGTCGCAAGCAGGCGTGCAGCAGGAGAAACGGAGGCCCTGGGAGAGGGAGTGGCCGGGCCATTGCGTCCGGAGTGAAGCTGGGACGCGAACGATGTTGTCAGGCTCCAACTCCCTGCACCGCTGTGCACTGCAGAGCGAAGGACGCGCTGCCCAGCTCTGGGCCATCTCCCCAGTCCAGTTCCGCTGGACCGCCGTGACAGCCCCTGTGTAATCCACCTCGGGCGGGGCGCCCTCTTCTCCGCTTTGCCAGGCAGGCTGCCCGGTCGTGCAGTGGTCACACGCTGGACTGCTACCTGCGGAGATGGAGTTTCTACTCCGTCGCAGAGTTTCAGTCTTGGGAACCCACAGGGGCAGTTCTACCCTGTCCTGTAGGGTCGGGAGGACTCGTGGGCAGTGAGTCTCCAAGACACGAGACGTCTCAGCATTCCGGCTGTGCTTCTCCCAAGACAGGTCGCTCTTCCTCCGGCAGTCTATGGCACTTTTAAACTGCCTTCACCAGCACCAGCGTTCAAACCTATTTAGGGGACCCATACTGTGTGTCAGGCACGCACTAGTCACAAGAGGCCTGGGACTGTAAATAAGGAGGGCGATTCAAACCCACCAGCCGCCCCTGGGGAGAAAGCCAGGCTGTCTGCCTCTGCAAATGGGGTTCCCCTCTGTCCTTCAAGGGTCCCTTGAGGGCCAGGGGGTGAGGGCTCGCACCGCCTCTCCCAGAGCTCTTGTCCGTGCCGAGGAGAGCCCGGTGAGGGAGAGCTGCCCCATCTTCCTTTCAAGGGTACAAATGGCAGCAGGGGGCCAGGGCTTTTCCCCCAGGAGTGAGTTCAGGACTGCCCATCTTCCCGCTTATAGCTTCCCTGCTCCTTTCACAGGAGACAAGCCCCAGCCCTGCTTCACCCCGGCTCTGAGAGGGTGGCTGCGCCCCAGGCCCTTCACAGCCCTTCATTGACCCTGTAGAACAGTCAGCCTTTTAGGGCTGCTTGTTAGTCGAGGGGACGGCTCAGACCCTAAGCAAGGAAGAGTGGCAAGGCACAGCCCAGCATCCCTCAGGACAAGGTGGAACACCTTCAGTGGGTGACCATGTCCTTACAGGCTGTAAGATTTAATGCCACCTCCTCTGAGAGGCCCTCCTGGATTCCGCCTCCTCTCCAGCCCTTCTCCAGCACCCGCTGGACTCTCAAAAGAGCACCCACTGCTCCATCCGTTTTCCTGGATCATCAGCTGCCCCGCCCATGCGAGGCAGGCTGGGACCTGCCTGGCTGTGTCTCCCTTAGGTGTGGGCCCTGAGGGCACATTGCTCAGTAGCCGTTGGCGCAACAGGGACAGAGATGAGGACAGGACTCGGAGTGCAGGAAACCAGCCACCTTCACGTCAGCTCTGACACACAGACGCTCTGGGATAGGTCGACCTTCACAGGGCAGACCGAGTGTCCCTGGTGCCGTCCGTCTTTATGGGAGCCGAGAGCCTGATCTCCTTCCGAGCGGTTGACTTGTCTTTCTACCCACTGCGCCTCCAGGCGGCATCATCACTGGGTCCAGATAACCAGCCATGAACCATGTTCTCTATGTACTTGCCTCGCCTAGATATTTCATTACAAAAACAAACAAGCAGCGACTGCCATCGAGTGGAAGCTGTCATAGCAACCCCGGAGGACAGGGCAGAACTGCCCCGGCGTGTGTCTGAGGCTGTCCCCCTTCGGCCCCATCGTTCTCCTGTGGAGTGGCCGGTGGGTTTGAATCGTTGGCCAGGCTGTGAGCAGCCTGATGCATAAGCACTACTCCACCAGGTATTTCATACAGGTGGACCTCAAACAGAGCGAAGGAAGGGAAAAGGTGGGCTCGCTGCTTAGGGGGCCCCCCCCAGCCTCTGTGAAAAGTGAGGGGGAAATCTAGCAGGGGAGCTGAGAAACGGTGGAGCCACGTGATCCCCAGATGGACATCTTGGGGTGGTGCCGCCGGCAAAGACGGTCGGAATGGGAGCTGATTGGTGGCCTGCATCTTTCTCACAACAGAAAGGACAGCTCAGACTGGCACAGAGCAAACAGTGACTACCTGGCGACTGAATGATTTTTTTTTTTCAAAAAGAGGATACCTTTGACGGCCTGGCCAGGTCCCTATATGGCCCTGGGTTGGAGGCCACCTTGGCATGGCCCTCACTGATCCTAGGCTGCTGGCACTCAGGACTGACCCAGGGCTGACCACCCAAGGACAAAGCCCTTCTGGAATGTACCACCTGGGGCAGGGGGTGCTCACCAGGCTTGGGATCCTGGGGGCAGACACCCCCTTGGCGTCAACTCTGACTGTCAGGTGGTCTGGCACCCTTAACTTGAGTACACCTTGTGGTGGGAGGCTCACTCACTCCATTCTGCTGTGAGACAGCTCTTTGGGTTAGGAAGTTCTTCCTGAGCGAGACCCAGAAACACCTACCTCCACAGTTCACCTAGCACCTAGCTGCTGCTCTGTTTTCAGGAAAAACAGTCTGTCTCACCCCCGCCCCCACCCCGCCGCCCCATCAGCCAGTGAAGGTGTTTGGGGACAACCCCAGTCTCCCCTTGATCTGGGGCGACAACCCTGTGCCCTCACCCACTCCTATGGAGTTGCCTTCCCTGTACGCCGAGGGAGGGGAGTGGTTTCTCCTGTCTGTGCAGAGTACAGGGTGCAGCCCAGGCCTAGGGACCTAGAGCAGGCATCCACTGCACAGATCAAGGTGGGACTGAAGGCGCATGCCTTGTCCTCCAGTAAAGGTGTGTCCGCTCAGGTAAGTGTATGTCCCTGAAACCATAGATGCCGAAAGCCCTGCTACAGTGTCTTCTTCCCTCCCCGGGGCTTCTGTTGATGATGGTTTTTACCCTCTGTGGTTTTTAAAGATCAGTACTCCATTCTTCCAGAGCCCAGCTGCCACTTTGTCCAATTGCAATGGTTCACGTGCCACCGTGCTTCCGGAAGCTCTGCTGCCAGTATTTCAAATGCCACTGTGGGGGACCCTGGTTTCAGAAGTTTTCGACCTGTCATTCCAATCACAACCTACCTGATGGTGCCGCCTTCTCAAAAGAAGGGCCCTGGAACCTCCCCCCTCTCTGCCTTCACCTTCCTGTTGGCTGACTGACCCTGGGTGCTGCCAGAGCCCTGTGATGCTTCTACCCCCATTGGATCCACAAGACTTTGCACCCGCCAGCCTGTGGCCTTCCTGCATTCTGCATCATTGCATGTGGCTGCATGAGTCTGAAGAAGGACTTACAAACTAGTATCAGATTTGAATTGGACTTGAGTTGGACTGGGCTGGCATG